ATGCCACTTTTTTTCCTGACCTTGACATCTGTCACTTTTTCAGATTCAAACCTCTTTAGAGACATATCACATCTTGATGTGGACAAAAAAGTGCATTTAACAGCACAGCTCACCTCACTGACCCACCTTTCAATTTCAGTACTAAATGAATATTTCAGCATGTTGGTAAATTGGATTTTAAAAGAGCATTTTCTGGATATATAGATGATCATCAACACAATAAACATTATTAATGTAAACATTTTCCACAAATAGTTCACCATATGGGTACCATTCACAACAGATGGTATCTGTGTATCCACTAGAATCTATGCAATTTTGCTCTGTAATAATTCAAAATTCTCGACTAGAAAAAAAAATGATTTTATTCGAGTTACAGTGGACTTTAATAAATAGTTAAACATTTCATCAGATCACCTAACTCTTGATTGGGAAATAAATACTGCAATTTTTTCCAGCATCAGCTAGTATAAACAGAATAGGCATGTGGACAGTCCTTACCAAACCCAATCGAAATGTTTTCCCACTGGCCAAAGCCCTTAGGCTCTACTGTAGACTATCTCAGATTAGAATGCTCTCCCTGACCCCAGCATAGCAGTACACTATCTGGTATAGGCCCTAGGTACCCATAGGACAGTGTCACTGTGTGATAAGCCACTGACATGTCTTATTAGGTAACATTCAATCTTGATTTGGCTATGGCCCATTCTGGTATCCTAACTGGACCAGAGTTTGTGCAGGTTTTGCAGCAGATACCACTGCAACTAAATTATTTGCCACAGGATATAATGAGCCCCTTTGACTTACTACGTAAACACACACACACGCACCTCTGCTCTACTTTCAAGAAGCCTACCAAGCAGTTGAAGATACCTATATAGAGAGGTCTGAACTCACATATGAGAGGTGGACCTGAGCACGGTGAAACATCCAATGTCCTCCTGTGACAGTTACTTCCCGTCATGAGTCCTGCTTTTCTCATGACCATCTTGTTTTGTTAAGCATGGTCAGGTTGTTGACTCCCCTCCAAATTCATCTGAGTAGCAGGATAGATCATACTAACATGAGACCTTCTGTGGTTGCTGCCTGCTGGCTAGCTACTGGTCAAACAAAATCAATGAGATTTCACCCAACCCCCAGCATAACTGTAGATTACATCACAGATATTAAAATAGCACAACTGTTCACATTTATAGTAGCATGCAAATTAGCAGTTTTAATTCTCTAAAAATAAATACAAATGAGATCTGAAAGTATTTCTTTTAACTTGCATGTGTGTGAGAGCAAGCAGGTGCTAAAATCTGAGTGGAGATTACTTTTTATGAGTGCTTTAAAAAAGCAAATCCTTTCAATGGGGCCATGTTCTCAAGTACATAAAAGGTGGTTACAGGGAGGAGGGAGAAAAAATGTTCTTCTTAACCACTGAGGATAGGACAAGAAGCAATGGGCTTAAATTGCATCAAGGGCAGTTTTGGTTGGACATTAGGAAAACTTCCTGTCAGAGTGGTTTAGCACTGGAATAAATTGCCTAGGGAGGTCGTGGAATCTCCATCATTGGAGATTTTTAAGAGCAGGTTGGACAAATACCTGTCAGGGATGGTCTAGATAATACATAGTCCTGGAATTAGCGTAGGGGACTGGACTAGATGACCTCTTGAGGTCCCTTCCAGTCCGACAATTCTATATCACTATGTGTGCAAATGTACAGGATATACAGGCAAGTGTTCAAAAAGACAGTGGATTTATACATTATAAATCAACATACCTACTCACTTAGCAATATAGCAGTAGATATTTTTGCTGTATGAAATTTGTAATTGTTCACAAGTTGAGAAATATATCAATATTAAATTATGATTAAAGGCTGTAGTTCTTCTAGTTTGAATATATATTTTGTGTTGTATGTTTTGAATATATATTTTGTGTAGTAAAGCCAGGGGATTCACTTTTGGAAAAGCAAACCTCTAAGAGCATATAAAAAAGTGTTGCATATTTATGTCATGTGAAAGGCAAAAAAAAAAAAAAAAGGCAGTGGACATGTAGGATTTTTCTTATGCATGTGAAAATCATAGACATGTATTATAAATTAGTTTAATATTGTAAATCATTAATGAGAATACTTATTCAAACATAACACTTCAAATGTAACTGAAAACCATATTTTACCTCCCATTTCAACTACTCTCACAGCTATATATGTAAAAATATACACATTGCATCTGAAATCAGCCATGGAAAGAACTGCTGTTTAACCACCTTTCCCCCTATTGTTAAGAAAACTAGGTCAAAGTTTCTGGAAGGTCTGATCTGTTAATGGGTTAAACACAGATCTCTGCCCTTCTTACTTTAGTAGGTTGGTCTCTATGACCTTTTACATTATATGACCTTGAGTTAATGTAAAGCACTAACCAAGATATTTCTTTTAAACATTTTCTAAATATACTTTTATTTCAGGGTTTACAGGACTAGGAGAGGCAGGATTCAAACACATAGGTGGAGCCAGCACTGAGTAGTTTGCGAAGATTCATGCCCCTTTTATACTGGAAGCCTTTTACCCTCCTCTAACTGCCAAATAATTAATGTGCCTACTACTTGCAGGCTCAGGGACAAAACTTGTCCCAATCTCACTCAGTCAGTAACTAGGTTGGGGAGGCATTTCCCTGGTAAATGAGTCCCATAAGCACTTTTTGCTTAGTTTTTCTACTGTAGGAGAATCAGCAGAGCGTACTTAGTAAACATAGTGTCAAATAGACAGCATTTAAGCTTAAAAAGGGAACTAGAACTAGACATCACTGTGGACAGCTTGATGAAAACATGTATCCTCATTGTACAGCAGCAGCCAATAAGGGGAGAAAGATGTTAGAACATGTTAAATAAACTGATAGAAAATAATGCTGAAAATATTATAGGGGCTGTTTTATAAATTGATGGTATGGCCTCATTTTAAATAATGTGCTCAGTTTTGTTCATCTCATCTCGATAAGGATACAACAAAAACTGAATGAATCCAAAGAAGGACAATTAATGGAGAGACTTCCAAAATAGGAGAAACGATCAAGATTATGACAATTCAATTTAAAAAGGAGACAAACAATAGATGACATGACAGAGGTATATAAAATAATAGGTAGTGTAGAGAAGGTAAACCAGGTACTCCTCTTTACACTCATCACACAAATTACAAGTCAACAGGGGAGTTGTTGTGGCCTGAGAGAGCAGCTTCCATCTGTAAGTCACACCAACCCTTCTCCACTGCCTTTGGCTCATGCTGATGACATCAGCAAACAGGGCAGTATAAGAGCCAGCCTCAGAGCTTAAGTTCCTGTTGTGGGTTGGAGTCATACTTTTTGTTTATAGACACACTGAGTAATTTGTATTTGTTTTAGAAAGAAAATACAAATTCCTTCATTTTAACTGAGGGCAGTTGTAAGCAGTAAGTAGGGAATGACATAGTGTGCATTCTTTGCTATTGTAACATCTTTGTCAATTAATTTTGGATTAACTAAAAAATTAATGTTTTGAAAATATTGGATCAAAGTGAGGATCTCTAAATCAGTTCAGCTTCCTTTATATCAAAATCCTGTTATTTGTCTGCTGGGTCTCTTGAACCCAGTCTGTACCAATATACACATTTCCGCCCAATGGGTGGTACTTCTTTGGAGTTGCTTACCTGTGCCAGGATTTGCATCAATTGTCTCCCACTGATTTTAGTTCCCTGTGGAAGCTCAGTAACTCTCCCTGATGGAACGAGTATACTATCCCTAGCTCACAAATATACATATAACATTTATAGATGCACACGTTTATGAACAATCCCTTTGCCCATAGCATCTGGCACATCTCAATAAAATAATCTTTTCAAGTTTCAGAGCTTTCACATCCATCACACTACCAACATGTAACAAATCAATATGTTGCAGACAACAATTACTGAACAAATCACAGTTTCTGCAGAGCCTGGTCTAGAACTCTGGTCCCCTCACCTCCAAAAGTCACGGATCACCATCATTTCAGCTAAAGAATATCTCACTGGATGTCAGTAGTAGCAGGACCCTTTATCCTGTCCATAGGCTAGTAAATAAAGGGTAACTTCACACATACAAAATTAGTACATTACAGGAGAAACCCTATACATATTAGGAAGGAGCATTCATTGCTCCAAAGATATCAGCTTCCTTTCATACAAATAGAGGTCATAGGCACCTTAGAACTACCTTAAATATATAAGTAAGATGATTTACCATGCATACTTAAATTTGTCCTATACCAAGGACAAAATTACTATTTTTGTTATATCTGATAGGGTAAGACACAAATACAGCATACAAATACTACCTGCAAAGGACGTACAGTATTTTACATGCATACCTATCAACAGTCTGTGAGCTGTAAGAATATCATTTGTTTTGCATTAAATATCCTTGCTGTTCATTAAGCACTGCAATTTTAAAAGACAAAAATGTCATTTTAAAGAGGAACTGTTAGTATCGTTAAGTAAAATTTGTGTTGCATTATTTTTAAACAATTTAAATTAACTTTTCTGTGCTATAGCTATTGTTTGCCATGACATCACTGAATTTAGGCCTTCATCGCTTATTTTAACAAGCATTCCCCCTGAGTTCTGTGCTACACAGCTGAAATTTATATGAGTATTATGGATTTGGAAAAGCAAAAATTTGCTCTTATTACTGTGTAAAGTACTGCTTGTGGACAAAGGCAAACAAATTCTGGAATCTTAATCACAAAAAACACAAGCTTTTACCCCTTGAGATACAAATTATAAATTGTAAATTATACATTTATCACTAGACTTTCTCATCGCATTCCAAATACAGAAAAACTATCCTTTCAAACTATTGACATTTTAAAATTATGTAGTTTAAAAATATATTTCCCAATTATTTTACAATTGGTGTCAAAATTAACTTTAATGTATAGTCCATTATAAAGTAAGACCAAAAATTGGAAAGTACAGACATTCTATATAAGAATCATATTACCTGTGTGCCAGCAGTGCCCTGAAGGTCATCTGATTCAGTCCCAGACAACTTGGCAGCAAGATTGACCAATCCCAGTTCCATTCAGTAATGGCTGACTGTTGAGGTATGGGAAGAAGCTATTGTTAGTTATTAATCAGAGTTAATATGATCAGTAAATTAAAGCTCCAGCTGTGATAGACTAACTAAGAAGGAGGGGGGTCTAGAACAAGGACTTAGACAGATGACATCAATCATGTCCATAGAAGAAGGTTTTTATTCCAATAAGACAGCAATTAATTTATAAATCCATTTGGGGATGTAGCCATTATTTATAAAAAGATAAATCAATTTTTTGAGTCGTTATTCTTCCAACTGTTAATGGCATTTTGCCCAGTCACTTTCTCTGAGAGCTTGACTCTATTTGAAAAGCAAAATAATTGGCAACTTTTTATGTATTGTAGCAATTTACATTTTCTACTGTCAGCAAAAAGTTTATCAAGAGAAAGAACTTGGTGTAGCTGGAATTCATGCTGTATCTTAATTAGTGCAAGATATTTTACTTGTCTATTGTTGTGTAAGGCATTGCAATCACCAGATGGTTATTATAAATACCTATAAATATAAACAATATGAACTCAGGTAAATACCCTGTTGCTTATTTAATTAATAAAATCTACCCTACAATAACTGTATGCAGACAAATGATGTCATACAAGTATCATGCTTACAAAGCAATACTTGTAGCTGTATAACATTAACATTATTAACTATAGTTCAGCCAATAAGGAATAGTGACCATAATACAATTAAGTTCAATATACTTGCGGGAGGGATCGCTCCCAAAATTAGTATGGTGAAAGTAAATTTGGCTAGGAGTTCAAAAAAAAAAAAAAAGATGAGGAAGCCAGTCAAAAATGGGGAAATTAAAATCCTTATGACTCTGAATGGAGGCTACTTTCCCATACAATAATAAATAGTAACAGGAATTATGTAAACCCCTAAACAGAAAAAGAAGAGGGAAGGTAAATACCCATATATATGTATATTAATATATATGGCTAAATGGCAAGGTTCAAGAGATTATTTAAGCCAAACAAGTCTCCTGTAGAAAATGGAAATCCAGCCCAAATGAAGCCAATAGGAAGTAATGTAACATAAACTGAAGCAAGGAGAGTTTCCAACAAGATTTTCAGGGTTCCCTAGTCCCGCAGAACCTCTGGTGCTACTGGAGACAGTTGAATATACTCCAGGGTTCCTCTTCCACCTAGATGCTTTAGTTCCCTCACTGTCTCTCCGCTTTTCTTTTACCCCCCTCCATCCTTCCTTCATGCACTCACACACAATAAAAGTCAGGGAGAGGGAAGGATAGAGAAAGGAAGAGCGGGAGAGAGGGGCAGGGAAAGTAAAAGAGAATAAGTGAGTAAATGGGGAAGAAAGTGGATGGTGGAAGTGAATGTCTGATTAAGAATGAATGAGGAGGAAAAAGTCTATCAAGAATGAGATGAGAGATGGAAGGAGTTAATGAAGAGGGAGGAAAGAGAGTTAAAGAGGGAGGGGATGGAAACAGGAAAGACAGTGCTCCAATGTTCTAACTGTAAACTCAAGTAGTCATTCATTCTACACACAGAATAAGAAAAAGAACATCGAAGATAAGTGAAATTAGAAGGGCTAAAAAGAGGGGATTTGACGAGCAAACAGAAAGAAAAAAAAAACCAACCAAGAAACTTTGTAAATGTAATAGAAGGAGGAAGCCTGGGAGAGAACTGGTCAGTCTGGTTGTAAAGTAAAGGAGTAGTGAAGGAAGGTAAAATCACCTGAGATAAGCTAAATGATTTCTTTGAAGCAGCCTTCACAACAGATCCATTGAGGAGCTGCATGACCTGAGCCTTACTCTTATTAGGTAGCAAAAAAGAGGCACTGTTAGAGATTGAGATGTCAGGACAAAGTGATAAAATTCAGAGTAACAAGTTGCTACAACTAGATGGTAAACATCAGGAGTTCTGAAGAAATGTAAAAATAAAGTGGATGAATTGTGAACAGTAATTATGTGCTCTCTCTCAAATTAGCTACTAAACCAAAGGGCTGGAAGATAACAAATCCACATAATATTTAATTAAATTGCAATGGTTGATCCTGGGGTGTACAGAGCAGTGAACTTTATTTCAGGACCAGGTAAACTGGCTGAAATTATAATTAAAAAGAATTATTAAGCCTCTTGATGCACATGATATGATGGGGACAATGTAGCACGGCTTCAGAAAAGGAAAATCATGCTTTCTAATCTACCATAATTCTTTGCATATGTCAACAAGATAGCAAATAAGAGATAACCTGTTGATTTAGTTTATTAGTTCTTGTTATGGACTTTTTTGAAGGCAGGTTAAAAGACCATTAAACAGGCTTTGAAAAAATCCATAACAAGAACTTATATTAAGGAAACCAAGTAGTCGTGGGGTGAGAAGAAAAGTATTGTCTTGTATTAGAAACTGGCTATAACACAGAAAACAAAGAGTAAAAACAAACGATAAAATTTCATAATGGCAAAAAGATAACAGGGCGTGGCTCCAAAGTCTGCCCTAAACCACTGTTGTTCAGTGATGTGGTAAAATAGGTCAATAGAGAGTGAGTGGCAAAGCTTACAAATGACACAAAATCAGTTGGGTTACTCAAGACTAGAGAAGCTGCCAGGAAAAACCCAAGGTGGCAGATGAAATTCAGTGTTGACAAATGTAAAGTAATGCACATTGTAAGGAATAATTTGAACAATTCATACATATTTCTGTGTTCTATTTTAACTGTAGCCCCGAAGGAAAAAGACCTGGCAGTCATTGTGGGCAGCTCAATGTAGTCCCCTGCTCAATGTAGAAACAGAAGGGGTACAGAAATCGATGTTGAAAATGTTAAGAGGTTAAAAAAAAAAACTACAAGAATTGTACATGAAGGGAGACTGAAAAGTTTGGAACTGCTTTGTTTAGAGAAAACAAAAAAAAGAGGGGACATGACATAGGTATATAAAATAACGAATGGTAAAAATAGGGCCCCTACGTGTTTTGTGATTCCACAGCCATAGAACCTGCTGCAAAATCTATCCTTTTTTGAAGATGCTGCAGAATTCAGCATTTTTGCATGAGAATCCCATATTGTTGCAGGCAGGTACCAGACATTTTGTTTTCTGTCTCCTTGCCCTATCATTTCCACCCTGCAGCTACCTCTTGCTTTCTAGGGAGAATTAATTGGGGAACGGAGGCTTATGGGGCTGGAGTGTGGAGTCCATTCACCTGAAGAACACAGTGAAAATATTAATTGACACATTTTTCATTTATATTTATTTTTAATATGGGCCCTAGTCAAAATACTGATAGAAAACAAATTTGTCAATAAATATTTTTGTAAAGGATTATTTTCTATGATATTTTTCCCCCATTATATTCCTTAGGTAGCCTAGCTTCATGGATATTGGCTATCTTGTTGTTCAAGAGACCTGTCTCCAAACCTCTCTCTGCTGAGTGCCAGGAAGTGGGAGCCTGTAACCAGCTTAAGAGGCTTATCCCTGGCAACACTCTCCAGGCAGGCCAGCACACTCTTCTGGTTCACCCACTTCCTGGCTTATTTAGGCTAATCCAAACCCAGTGGTAATAGGCTGTGTGGGAGGGAAGGGATTGTTAATGAAGAGGATTTTATGGGAACAGAGTAAGTTAACAGTGCTGCAGAATTCAGCTGCTCTTGTTCCTGAATTTAGTGCCACTGTGCCATGGAATACACAGAATCCTGAATAAACACAAAGTTGGCACTCCTATTTATGCTCTCATAATAGAAGAACTAAGGCACAGTCTTTGGAATTGAAAGGCAACGAGTATAAAACTGATAGAAGGAAATACTCTTACACAATGCATAATTGGCTCACTGACAAAAGATATTGTGAAGGCCAGAGGCTTAGTGGGATTCAAACAAGGATTCATCATTTATGTGGGTAATGAAAACATATATATACTTAAATTATATATGGTAAAAATAAAGAAACAGATCAGAGATTTTATAAACTCTCATGCTTCAGGAGAGAGGACAACCACTGACTGATGGGGATAAGAAGAAATTTAGGCAGAATAATTGTCCATTATGAGTTTTCTTGTACTGTCCTCTGAAGAATCTAGTAGTAGCTACTGGCAGAGACCAGATAATGGACTAGACTGACCATCGGTCTATTCCAGTATGGCAGTTCCTATATTCATATGTTAAAAGTATATTTTTAAGGAAATAAAATAAGGTAACTTCTTTAATAGTAAAATTAATTTCAGGAAGCAAGTTGATTTACTGACTAATAGGTTTGACACATGATACTTTAAGGTCTATAGTCCATTAATTATTTTTATTTAAATGCTTGGACAGTTTTCCAAGTTCTGAAAAACAGATTTTATGCTAAAATTTCTGGAATCCAACACAATCCAATATGAACTATCTCTTGTCACCTGCTGATTAATGGAGCACTGCAACTCTGTCATATAGCAAAAGAATTCTGCCCTGAGTTGTCAGTATTTGAAGGTCTTATTCTACTCACTATTAATGAATGTAGGCAAGAACTATAACAGGCATGATAAAAATATCATCTGCGTTCCATATTTGGACACCATTTAATTTTTTTCCCAGTTGTCTAAGACAAGTAATTCCTCCCTTGAGTCCTCTTCATTTAGGATATTTACAAAGGGACTTGTGGAACAAGAAAGAGCAACACAGGCTTAAAACTAGTTCAACAGGGGTCAAGAGTCTCAAATTAGTATTCATCTCCATCATTCACACCATTAACACTTTCACTGAAATACATCACATGGATTAAATATCTATTAACAATATTTAGAAAATGGCATATACAGTGAAACTTGTCTTTAGCCATCACTAAAGAGAGCAGAGGTGATATCTTTACCGAAATACCAAACAAATTTGTACTGAAAAAAGATAAAGGGTTGTCTAGAGGAAGAAGTTTTTAGTGCGTACTTCAGTGTAACAGTTTAAAAGATCAGCATTTATATTACCATTTGAAATTGTGGGGGTGCCTAAAGGGATTAAGAAGATTGGCAAAGTCTCCGAATAAATTTTTCAAAAGTGCCTACGTGATCTAGGCACATAAATCCCATTTTAAAAGTGACTTTTGAGATTTGTACCCTAAGTGCCGTTCTCAGACTTAGGGAGTTTTGATGATTTTACCTTAGATCTAATTTAAAAAAAACAAAAAACAAAAAAAACCTGCTGACCTGGCAAGGTACTAGTTTCTGGAATTGGATACCTTAACATTTTACCTGATTAGCCTAATATGAACATCGGAAATACATACTTTTCTCTTTTTTTTCTATTTAATCTGTATCTATCTATATATTTCCAATGCAACCATTACTATAGTGTCTCGTATTTTTGACAATGGCTGTCATCAGGTACTGTATTTTATGGATGTTTTTTCATCATTTCTCCCAAATATGCACTTCAAGCTTTGTCACTATATTCAACAGAGAGACCCAGTCCATTGCATCAAGATAATGAAAAATCATCCATAAAAATGTGCTTCCTGTGTTCATACTGAAGTAATGTAGTTATAGGTAAAAGAATACAAATTCCTCAAGTACATGAGATCCACATCACAGCAACAATACAGATAAAAGAACGGGGGGAGGGGGGCGGAAATGTGTCAATGACAACCCCCTTGCATAATACAAATGGGTTAGAATTGTCAGCACTTTAGAGGCAGCAAGCACCCAAGCAATTTTATGAAGTTTGTGCCTATGCCAATTAGTTCATTTTCATGATTTCAACACCTACCATCACTGTCATCATAGTTTCATAGAGTTTAAGGCCAGAAGTGACCATTAGATCATCTAGTCTGACCTCCCGTATATCACAGGCTACTAAATTTCACCCAGTTACCCCTGTATTAAGGACAATAACTTGTGTTTGGCTGAAGAAAATTTTTCAGAAAGATATTCAGTCTTGATCTGAAGCCTTCAAGAAATGGAGAATCCACCACTTCCTGGGATAGCTTGTTTCAACAGTTGATCACCCCCATTGTTAAAAATGTTTGCCTTTTTTTTTCCATTTTGAATTTGTCTGGCTTCATCTTCCAGCCATAGGTTGTTGTTAGGCCTTCCTCCACTAGATTAAACAGCCCTTTAGTATCTGTTATTCTCTCCTTGTAAAGTTACTTGTATGCTGTAATCAAGTCAACTCTTGATCTTCTTTTTGAATAGGTAAACAGATTGAAAGGCATTTTTTCCACCCTTCAAATAATTTTTGTCTCTCTTTTTTGCACCCTTTCCAATTTTTCAAAATCCTTTTAAAAATGTGCACACCAGAACTGCACACACTATTCCAGTGTCGATTTCAGCAATGCCACATCCGGAAGTAAAATAATCTCCCTAACCCTATTCACTACTCCGTTGTTTATACAGACAAGGATCACATTAGCTCTTTTTGCCACAGCGTTACAGTTGAGAAATCATGTTGAAAATTATTTTCAGAGTCACTGCTTTCCAGGACTGCCTCATTGTGTAGGTATGACCTGCATTCCTTATATCAGATTATGTGATATTTTCATTGATAGGACTTGAAAATTTCAAAAACTTTCACTTACCTGATCAAACACATTTGCACAATATTGGCGGTGCACCTGGAAAGGATTGAAAACAGGCTGCTCTTGTGTGCTCCTCAGTGTCAAATGTGAATGTTCAATGGGCATTACATCCTCTTCAGAAGAATTCCCACAAGACAGCAGCTCTTTCAAATATTCCTTTTAAGAAGAAATACAAGTTAATGAGTACCACCTATCCTTGATAGCAATAGTCTGGTTAAATTCCACATATAAATTTAGCTAGTCTCTTTGCCCAGCCAGATTATTATCAGATCTCTCCTTCCTCTCCGCACTTTCTTCTTCCTGCCCCACTGGGCTCCAGCCAGGCCCAGAGCATCTGACAGCAGCATTGCATATAAATGAGGATTTAGTACAGGAAAAAGGAACTCCAGAGGGTAGGAGTATGGACCCCAAACAAAAAGAGTAATAATACTGATGGGAGGAATAGTCAGGTAGATGATACGAATAGTGAAAGGATTATATTTAATCTGTCTAGGAAATATTCTGAAGTCAGATGAGATATTTGTACACTAATGCAAGAAGCCTGGGCAACAAAATACTGGAACTAGTATTACTGGTGCAGGATGCAAAACCAAATAGTATAAAGATAACAGAAATATGGTGGAATTGCAGTTGTGACCGGAATAGAGGTATTGATGGATATGTGCTTCTCAAGAGAGAAAAAAATAAAGGTAAATGTGGTGGGGTACCACTGTACACCAATGATGTGGTACAGTAAGGAAATCAGAAGCATTGTACCTCAATGATGTGGCAGACACAAGAAATAAGAAGTGATAACATTAGCATGGATAAAACAGAATCAGTTTGTCTCAAAATCACTTTGGGGAAAGATTGTATAAGAGATTCTATTAAGGTAGTGTTAGGGGTCTGCTCTAGATCCCTCCCCTCCCCCAGGGTGGAATCTGGAAATGGACAGAGATCTCTTTGATGTTATGAGAGAGATAAATACTAACAAAAATTGTGTCGGTATGGAAGACTAACTTCCTAGATATAGACTGGAGAACAAATATTACTAATAATGGTATGACCCAGTTATTCCTGGATGCCAGCAGACACGTCTTCAAATAGTAATGAACCAACAAGAGGTGATGCTTTTTTAGATTTGGCTTGGATAAGTAACGAAGACATTATAGACATTCTATTTGTAGAAAATAACCTTGAATTCAATGATCAAGAGTTGATTCTATTGAAATTAAATGGAAGGATAGTCAAAAAAACTGGTTGGTAACTAAAGTGTTTAATTTCAAAAGGGCAAATGTTGAGAAATTAAGGGAACCAGTTTGTGAAGTAAACTAGACTGATGATCTCAAGGCCTTAAACATGCAGGAGGCTTGAAATTTATTTAAGTTAAAGGTGCAGAAACTATCTGGAATTTGCATCCGAAGCATGTACGGATGGACTCCGGCATTTACTAAATGAATAACCACTTCAAAAAGGATATTAGGAATAAGCAAAATCCTAAAAAGAAAGGGACTGATCAGCAAAGAAAGCTATACCTTGGAGGTCAGAAAGTGTAGGGATAAAATAAGAATTGCCAAAAGTCAAGCTGAGTTATACCTTGCAACAGAAATTAAAACAAATAGTAAAAAACTCTTTAGCCATATAAATAAAAAGAAGTGGGCAGCCACTATGCAGTGAGGATGGGTGAGAAATTAAGGATAATCTAGTTATAATATGGATAATAAGACTGCAAAACTAAATGAATACTTTGCCTCAGTTTTCAATAAGGATGCTAATGTTGAACATGGGGGAAAAGGCAAGATGGTTAATGGGAATGAGTATATAGAAATTACCACATTCAAGATGGAAGCAAAACTCAAAAATAATTTAATGTACTCAGATTGGGAGGAGTAACAGGGGAGCGGATAAACTTCATCCCAGAATACTGAAAGAACTGTCACATAAAATTGCAATTCTGATACCAAAGATTTTCATTTTTTCTGTTAAACTGGAGGTGGTATGGTATGACTGGAGAATAGAAAATATAGTACCTATATTTAAGAAAGAAGGAAAAAATAAGCCAGTCAACTATGCACCTGCTAGTCTGACCTCAATAGTATGCAAGGTTTTAGAACACATTTTAAAGAAAAGAATAACTAAAGACATGAAGGAAAATGGGATAAAATGCAACATACGTTTGCCAGCGGTAGATCATGCCAGTCTAAGCTGATATCCTTCTTTGTAAGATAACTAATGTTTTAAGACCAGCTAAATATGGTACATCTAATCTATCTGGACTTCAGTAAAGCATTTGATATGGTATCACACAGGAAATCATTAGTCAAACTGGAGAAGCTGGGGATTAGTACAGGAATTGTAAGGAACTAGTTAATGGGGAAGCAACTATAGGTTGTGCTAAAAGGAAAACTATTGGTCAGGAGGGAGGTTACCAGAGGAGTTCCTCACGGATCGATTTTCAGGCAAATCTTATTTTTACTTAATGACCTTGACACAAAAGATAGGAGAGTGCTAATGAAATGTTCTGATGAAACAATGTTGGGAGGCATCATCAATACAGAGGAGGATCGAATATTCTACTAGAAGAATTGGATGACCTTGAGGACTGGAATAATACAAATGGGATGAAATTTAATAGTCCAAAGTGAAAGATTGTGTACTTACAGACTATAAGACTTTTTTGCTATAAGCTGTGGACTCATCAGTTGGAAATGACAGAGGAGGGAAAAGACCTGGGTATATTAGTTAAAATATCAATTTGTGATACAGGTTAGAACATTTGGAGACTCAAACTGGCTTTATAGCCTGGCAATTAGGTGTTGTGTGGCATGCAAATTTCATAACTATTCAAAGCTGTAAAAAATCCTGCCTCCTCTTTCTTCATTTCCCTCTTTCCAACCATCAGTGCAGTCACAGAACCAGTCCCTACTTCCCTCATGAGTTTACAACAGTTAGACTTACATATATTAATGTGTTAAAGTTAATAGTGCTTGTTTTTGACAATTTTTAAATCAATTCTTGTTAGTCCAAACTGTGGGGGGACTTTTGTTGCCTGGCATAATGGGTGAAGTCAAGAAGACAGGCATCAAAAATACACCTCTTGCTCTAATAAGATGTTAATCTTGGAAGAGTGTGTGTATAAACTCTTGGAGAGCAGTACTGGAGTCATTACCAATGAAAGAACAGTTTCTCGTAAGTAACTTTCTTTTCTTCACCACCCAAATGTGAAGAATATCTGGATATTGATTTTGTAGACAGTGTCTGTCCATGGAATTGATGTAAACGTTGATGACTATTCTATTTACATACATAAGGACACGCTGCACTTCCATCTGGTCAATGAGTAAACTCTATACACATTTCTATTGAACCTGTTTAGTTCCAGATATAGGAATGGGCTTCTTCAAGAAGCAAGGAAACTTTTACATTGTGACCCAGATTCTCAAGTACACTTTACCTCTGCTCAACACCGCTGAGTGAGGGAAAAGGGGATGCACAGGCAACTCTTTAATTCATTTTGCAAGTTCCCTACCCCCAGGTTGGCTATGGGCCAATTTAAGCCCCATCACAAATTGGAGCAGTCTGAAGGCTGTTCTAATGCACTTCTTATGCCTGAGCTGTTGGGAAGTGTTGTTACACTGGCTCTATGCCAGCCAGAGATTCTCCCATGCTCAGGGAATCCTTAGTTGAAACCTTCTGGCCCTTTTGGGTATTTCCACACTGCATCTTGGAGCAAGCCTCCCAGATCAGGTCCACAGACTTGCGTTTGAGGGGCTCGTGCTAGCATGCTAAAAACAGCTGTGTAAATGTTGCTTTGACATTGCCCATCACACTTGAGTCCCTGAGCTCCAGCCACAATTCTACAAAGCTATTTTTACAGCGGAAACTCAAGTCTGTGAACCGAGACTGGAAGGCTCCTGTCCAGATGCAGTGAAGACATACCCTTTGTGTCATCAGAGCAAAGCATACAGGCTTCAGTGGGGGCTAGAATCTGTCACATTGACTTTAGAATAGCCTAAAATTCTGTTTCCCATGGAAATGAGTTACTTGGCATAGATGAAAAGAATGGTCTTTGACATTATTAGGAAATCATTATGAGGGAAGGACATCTCAGATTGTTTCCTGCAAGATTAAGAATTCTCTTTTGGGGACAAAGGATGCTAATACTTTTTGAAGTCTCTAAATACGATACAATCGGAAGTGAAAACTGGTATTAACTTGGAACTTTTGGCTCCAGTAAATCACCCATTTATTCCCAACTTCCAAAATGTTTTTTACTTATTACCTGATGTCATAAAATGACCAAGATACGGTGAAAGGCTATGACCATTATTTATGGGTTATTTGTATAAATTTAACTAGGCCTTTTGCATATGTTATACAATACCCTCAAGTAAGCAGTATTACAATCAGAGCTTTCAACTGTGGGATCCCTTGATTTCTCAATGGAGGGCACTCAACTTTGGAACTTGCTTTCCCTGTGGTGAGCATCAGAACATGATGTAAGACCTATCTTTTTACAAAGGCATTTTCTTGTGTTGGAAAGAATGGTGGAGATATATTTTGAGGTAGAAACTTCATCAACAATGGTAAATTTGTTATTTTAAGTATTGTTTTATTACTGCATTTCAGCTAAGAGACCAGGAAATGAGCATGTTTCATAAATGTAAAAATAAATACAAATAAAACTAAATTTGCAAGTACATAATGTATGTTCTCTCCAACTGTGACTGGGTGTGAAACAATAATGTGAACAGAACATTCTTGACTCATATGCAGTGTTGTTGTAGCAGTGTCGATTGCAGGATATTAGTGAGACAAGGTGGGTGAGGTAATATCTTGTATTGGAGTAACTTCTGCTAGTGTGAGAGACAAATTTTTGAGCCTACACAGAGCTCTTCTTCTTAAGAGCTCTGTGTAAGTTTGAAAGCTTGTCTCTCTCTCACCAACAGAAGTTGGTCCAATACAAGATATTACCTCAACCACCTTGTCTCTCTATTGTTGACTCAGTCTATGAGAGGCTGTCTTCTTTGGAAGCCACCAGATAACAATTTCTATTTATTTATTTATATTATTTTGTTGAATACATAACTTCAGTACCATAGCTCCACAAAACCTATTATAATTTTCCATAACTTTGTGGTGCTGATTTCACAAAGTAAAGCTACTAAAAATCACCATCCCATTTTCTCCATTCTTTGGAATGACAGGTTTCAGAGTAGCAGCCGTGTTAGTCTGTATTCACAAAAAGAAAAGGAGTACTTGTGGCACCTCAGAGACTAACCAATTTATTTGAGCATAAGCTTTCGTGAGCTACAGCTCACTTCATCGGATGCATCACGAAAGCTTATGCTCAAATAAATTTGTTAGTCTCTAAGGTGCCACAAGTACTTCTATTCTTTGGAATGATTACTCTGAGCAGCCACTTACTGATTTGTCATGTAAGCTTTTGTTCACATCACAAATTTTAAACTAGTTATGGAAAATAGTGTTTAAAAGTGCTTAACATGATTTTGTGCCAAAAACTATACATTTTTAGTGGTTTCACAGCCATGTTGAAGAAATCTGTTTGAGCCTTGCCAGGGTCTTGAGTATGGCCCCATTGAAAATGTTTTCACTTAAAGATGTCATATAGATGTACTCTTCACTTTCTTGTTTAAACTGTTGAGTAGTGTTGAGAGATGCTACTAAACAGATACTGTGTTCTACTCCAAATAAGGCAAAATTTCAGTGATTTCTGTATATATGCGTACTTTTATACAGACATACATCATAGCTAAGATTTACAAAAACAGATGCACATAGTTGGGCTCCAAAGTCCACACTTAGGCAACTAAACAACTGACTTGATTTTCTGAAGTGATGAGTGACCAATTGCTCCGATTGACATAACATGGACTTAAGTGCCTAATTATGGATTTAGGAGCCTGACGTTAGGCAGTCAATTTTGAAAATCGTGGCTGTCATAAATATAAAGGGAAGGGTAAACCCCTTTGAAATCCCTCCTGGCCAGAGGAAAAATCCTCTCACCTGTAAAGGGTTAAGAAGCTAAAGATAACCTCGCTGGCACCTGACCAAAATGACCAATGAGGAGACAGGATACTTTCAAAAGCTGGGAGGAGGGAGAGAAACAAAGGGTCTCGGTCTGTCTATATGCTGCTTTTGTCGGGGATAGACGAGTAATGGAGTCTTAGAACTTTTAGTAAGTAATCTAGCTAGGTATGTGTTAGATTATGATTTCTTTAAATGGCTGAGAAAAGAATTGTGCTGAATAGAATAACTATTTCTGTCTGTGTATCCTTTTTGTAACTTAAGGTTTTGCCTAGAGGGGTTCTCTATGTTTTGAATCTAATTACCCTGTAAGGTATCTACCATCCTGATTTTACAGGGGGGATTTCTTTATTTCTATTTACTTCTATTTCTATTAAAAGTCTTCTTGTAAGAAAACTGAATGCTTTTTCATTGTTCTCAGATCCAAGGGTTTGGGTCTGTGGTCACCTATGCAAATTGGTGAGGCTTTTTATCCAACATTTCCCAGGAAAGGGGGGTGTGCAAGTGTTGGGAGGATTGTTCATTGTTCTTAAGATCTAAGGGTCTGGGTCTGTAGTCACCTAGGCAAATTGGTGAGGCTTTTTACCAAACCTTGTCCAGAAAGTGGGGTGCAAGGTTTTGGGAAGTATTTTGGGGGGAAAGACGTGTCCAAACAGCTCTTCCCCAGTAACCAGTATTTGTTTGGTGGTGGTAGCGGCCAATCCAAGGACAAAGGGTAGAATATTTTGTACCTTGGGGAAGTTTTGACCTAAGCTGGTAAAGAGAAGCTTAGGAGGTTTTTCATGCAGGTCCCCACATCTGTACCCTAGCGTTCAGAGTGGGGGAGGAACCTTGACAGTGGCCTATCCCTAAATTTGCAGTATCATGCATTCTGTTATATGCACTTGGTTATACTTTAACTACAAATATATATAAGTAATGCTTTTTAAAAAATTACATAAATTCAGGCATGTACATCTGTAGTATCACTAGGGTTGCCAGCCCTCCTGGTTTTGCCAGAAGTCTCCCGGCATCAGGCTCTATATCCTGGAGTCTACTGAAACCAAACCAGGAGATTTTAGTTGCTAAAAGTCCAGCGGCACAGCAAGGCTAAGGCAGGCTCCCTGCCTTCCCTAGTTCTGCACAGCTTCTAGAAGCAGCTGGCATGTCATTGTGGCCCCTGGGAGGAGCAGGGGGTCTCCGTGCGTTGCTCCTGCCCTGAGCGCCGACTCTGCAGCTCCCATTGGCTGGGAACTGCGGCCAATAGGAGCTGTGGGTCAGTGCCTGCAGGCAAGGATAGCGCACAAAGAACCCCTGGCCCCTCCGCCTAGGAGCTGCTGCCAGAGGGATGTGCTGGTCGCTTTCGGGAGCCACCTGAAGTAAGCTCCGCCTGGCCGGAAACCACCCCACACCTCCCACACCCAAACTCCCTGCCAGATCCCGTACCCTTTCCCACACCCAAACTCCCTCCCAGAGCCCACATCCTCTCCTGCACACAATCTCCCTCCTGGAGCCTGCACCCCGCACCTCCTCCTGCATCCAAACCCCCTGCGCCAACCTGGTGAAAGTGAGTGAGGCTGAGGGAGAGCGAGCGATGGAGGGAGGGGGGATGGCAGGGTCTTCTTTTTGGGAACCTGAAAAATGGTAACCCTAAATATCAGAAATGATGAGAGACTCCTTTCTTGTCTAGATTCTATGGGATGCAATAAACAATTGAATTTGTTTCCAAATGGTTAGCATAGATGCTCTTCTATTAATATTAAAAGTGATTTAACTACACAGAAAGAAAAGGAGTACTTGTGGCACCTTAGAGACTAACCAATTTATTTGAGCATGAGCTTTCGTGAGCTACAGCTCACTTCATCAGATGTATACCGTGGAAACTGCAGCAGACTTTATATACACACAGAGAATATGAAACAATACCTCCTCCCACCCCACTGTCCAGGTATTGTTTCATATTCTCTGTGTGTATATAAAGTCTGCTGCAGTTTCCACGGTATACATCTGATGAAGTGAGCTGTAGCTCACGAAAGCTCATGCTCAAATAAATTGGTTAGTCTCTAAGGTGCCACAAGTACTCCTTTTCTTTTTGCGAATACAGACTAACACGGCTGTTCCTCTGTTAACTACACAGAGTTATACGGATTTATCAGTCTTTTATCTGAATGAATTTACTTCACCCCAACAGCTGTAGGGTGTGTTTGTTGTTTTGTTTTTTTTTAAATCAGCAGAATTGACTTACAATGTTTAATTCTACTTCCTGTAGGAGTCAGATTTTCAATAGCATGATGATTTTCTTACTATGTTCTAACTCCTAAAATAGATCTGTGGTCTACACAATATAAATCTGAAGCAAGTTTATGAGCCATGCTATTGTTAAAGTACCTAAATAAAATCTA